TTCTTGCTGTTTGGAATATATTTTAGTAGGGAGCAATTGAGTATCTCCTGAAACACCTGCCACTGCTCATCAATTGTCCTACCTTTTACTCTTCCCGTCCAGTCCACTAATGCCAGATCTGTCCTTGTGCCTCTGTAATTACATTTGTTTAACTCAAGAATGCTAGTGTGGGACTTCAGTTTCTCACCCTCCAACTGAATTTGAAATTAGGATCCTTTACTATGAGATCATTAATTAATCCCACCTCATCACACAATACCAAATCCAGAATAGCCTGCTTGCAGGTTTCTGAGAGCAATCTGTTGGGGAACAAGTTGTAATATATTCAATGAACTATCTCTCTCAAGAATATATTTGCCAATTTGATTAATTCAGTCTATATGCATATTAAAATCAACCATGATTATTGCTGCACCTTCTTTACAAGCTCTCAGTATGGTTTATGCTGCACCCTACTGCATGACTACTGTTTGACCTATAGATTACCCCACAAGGGATGACTTTTCCTTGCTATTTCTTATTTCTACAAGACTGATTCTATGTCGTGATCTCCAGTGCTGATATTTTTCACCATAATGCTAATGTCTTCTTTTACTAAAATAGTTACACCACCACCTTTTTTCCTCCTGTCTATCCTTCTGAAGTACAGTACTCTTGGATAGTCGATTCCCAAACCTGGTCTCCCTCCAACCACTTCTTTGTAATCGCCACCAAATCATACTCATTTGTCTCTAATTACACAGTCTCATTCACGTTATTATGAATGCTTTGTGCTATCTATAGCCCTAGCAATTCACCAGTATTCTGTTCCCAAAATGATTCAGGTAGAGCCTGTCCCATGGGAAGATCTCCCTCCTTCCATGGAATAAACTTCAAAACATCATTTACAAAACCATGTCCTCAACATATGGAAAGCAAAAGCAGGAAAATACTGACTAGTTACAGGATCAAATCATTGATTCAATCTGTCATTTGATCCCAGTGATTCTGTCTGATTCATTAAAGTTGAGTTGAGTGGGAAGACTGACTACATGAAGCCATTTGCAATAAAGTCCAACAGACTGTGAGGTGGTGCACCAGTGTCTGCTGGTTACAACTTTTCTGGAATATCCAGAAGTCGCCCAACATCCAAAATGCTGGGGACGTGTATGAAGGGATCAAAAAGGTCCAAATGGGTCCATCAGCAAAGTAAACTGCTCCACAGAAAACAAAGGCAGGAAAGATCATCACAGAGTGCAAAAACAAAACACTGGAAAATATGGCAAGCACAATTTTGGGTTCTTCTCTGGAAAGAACACTCCACAAGAAAGTTCTAGCTACCACAGAAAGTCTCCCTGTGAAGGTAGAGCTGGACATTGAACACACAGTGGAGGAGCTTAGACAAAACTGTTCACTCTCCCCATGGCTTAAGCTCCAGATAACGATGCTAATCCCACCTGAACTCTTCAAGCATAGGAAACCAGCACCCCTACACCATCAGCATTAATTTTTCTGTCTCGTCGAAGAGAAGGACAGTGCTCCAGGGTATGCATAATCGTGACTGTACAATGTCAAGCACCCACAGTAATTGCAGCAACTAGCAAGACATCTCCCTGCTGAGTATTGGTGGGAGATTCATTGTCAGACTGCAGATCCTTTGTATTTTTTTTAATTCATGTTCACAAGGTATGGATGTCAGTGGCCAGGCCTGTATTTAATTGCCTAATTGCTGAGAGGTCAGTTAAGAGAGAACCATATTGCTGTTGGTCCAGAGTCACATGTAGGCCAGGCTGGGTAAGAATGGCAGATTTCCTTTTCTAAAGGACATTAGTGAACCAATTGCAATGGTTTCACAGTTATCATTAGACTCTTAATCCTAGATTGTTTTGTTGAATTTGAACCTGGGTCCTTGGGAAATTAGAGACAGGAAAGACTGCAGATACTGGAAGCTAGAGTCAAAAAACGTGGAGCTGAAAAAGCACAGCAGGTCAGACAGCCTCCAAGGAGTAGGAAAATCAACATTTCAGGCCGGAACTTGAAAAACAATTCCGATCCGAAACGTTGACTTTCCTACTGCTGGGATGCTGTCTGACCTGCTGTGCTTTTCCAGCTCCACATTTTTTGACTCCTCAGGACATTACCTGGGTCTCTGGATTAATAGTCAAGTGATAATGGCACTAGGCCATCCCCTCCTCTGTTATGTCCGCTGCACTGTTTCTACCTGGCTTTGAAACAAGGACACTTTTTGTGTGCAGTGAACATGATAACCACGACACAACAGAAATGCATTTACCCTGAATCCCAGTGTAGTTTTAGAACTAGAAGATCTACAAGTCCAGATTGTAGTTCCAAGAATGAACAAAGGAGATAACTGTGTTATCTTCATTGATTGCAACAAAAAATTTAACCCCATGTGAGCAGAGTTTAAATTGTTGCCCACTAAAGCTACTTCATGTTATCTATTTTCATGACAATCTAATGGGTAAGGTCAGCTGTACTAGGTCAACATCAGAACTCTTTGAATGGGATCAAACAGTGTTTTGTTCTATATCTGACACTATTTGGTCCATTCTTTGCTGTTAGATGTCGTTAGGTCACCTATAGAGGGTGTTCACTTGATTATTAATTCTAACCAAAAGCAGTTCAGTCTTGCTTGCCTAACGTCAAAAAGAAAAGTACTCCAACTCATTTTAAGAAAGTTGCTATACATTTACAAAGTCATCCTAGCATTACATTATTGATGAGCATCTTCAGTGAAAAATGGGTGGACTGTCAAGGAGAAGAGTCATGGTCCAGGATCTTGCCCTTTTATGGCCATCTAATTCACATGGAAAACGATGCTGGGAGTGGCTGATAGCTTCTCTCATTTGAATATCTTGTTACTTGGCTCCACGGTCACCAACAATTTGTCACCTGCTGTTTTCAGTATGCAGTGCAAAACTTTCAGCTGTCATATCCAAACTGAGTATGATGTCATGGAAAACTGAAACGTTCTTAAGAAAACTATATGACCAGTCTACTGTACCTACATCACACTTTTTAGGCAAGAAAAATGCTGAACGATTTCTATCTTTTCCTCTACTGTATCCTTGGCATCTCTTGACAGGACAAGGTCACCAATGTAGAGGACCTTTTGAGTTCTCATAAACACCATGATCATAACTCATTGCTAAGTCAATGAAATTTGAATCGGCTACATTCATGGCCGTCTGCCCAAAGACCGTCAGTATAGTGAACTGGCCATTGGGTCATGACCTCTTGATCATCCATTTCTCTGCTACAAGCCAGCATACGAGCAAAATATGAAGAAGGCAAAGATTAACAGTGACAAATGGGAGATGATTGCTAACAACTATTACTTCTGGGGGCTAACCGTTTTAAAGGCATTGGAAGAGGTGAGTGGAAATGAAAAGCTCAGCTCGTGAAGAAGAGTCCCCAGAGGAAATAGAGACGAGAAATTGTGCATTATCTGAACTTTGTCTGCCTGTGCAACAAATGCAGCAGAGACCGTCATACCAGAATGGCGTTCGTGAACCACACTAGACAAGACTTAACAGCATTAACCATGATAGTGCAAACGTTGTCTGAGACACGGTGACTTTAGATTTGAACGGTTTTGACCTGTTTCTTTTGTAAAAGTCCATAACTGCAGGGAGGGGAAAACAGATCAAAGAGCAACAATTTTGTCCTGCAATTTTATATGCTATTCAATGATAGAAACAATGCATTCTCTAAATTGAAGTGAGTTTGAGGGAGTAACAGGAAGCCAGAGTTTTGTGCTTCTTTTAACTGCAGATTTGTATTTAGCCGGAGGAATGATTGGGTACTATTCTTCCTCTATAAGAACCCACACCAGACATCATTGCTATAATTTCTTATATGCCATCCATATTGATTTCCAAGTACCAACTTCCTTGTTTAACTTCAGGGATTAAATTCAGTTTTTGTATGTATCTTATCTTTTGGAAGAGAAAGGACACCAAGGTCCTACTGCTCAGAAGAACCTAAAAGATCCTGAGTTGCTGATTCAAAGAAGGGCAAGGCGTTTCTCCCCAGTGTGCTGTCCAATAACGTAAGCATGCAAGAAATAGGAGTAGGCATTTTGACCCCTAAAGCTTGCTCTACCACCTACTAAGATCATGACTGATTGATTGTAACCTCAACTTCATTAGCTCCCCATCCCAATAATAAAATTTAAATATGTTTCTAAATACAAAGGAATCACAAATTTAAGCTACTCATGGTGGTTCACTACTCGGCAAACTGATGGTGTGAATTGAACGATTAAGCATGTGAACAGATTGCAGGAGCAGCATATGAGGATAATATTGAGTTATTTGAATCACTGCCTGTGTGTTTATCCCCATCAGGTCCTCAGTTAATTTTGGAGAAATTTTCTTTGCCTTTCAAGCTTAATAAATAAACATCATATCGTTTATTCCGTGATGGTAATTCATTATTCAAATACTGCACTTTTAATATTTTTGTGACTACTGAATTCAATGAATAGTGAGGCTGAGGCCATCAATAGATTAAATTCTACTTGCTATAGTCTGCTATAAAATGACCTAATAGCGTGTTTTGTAATGTTAAACGGATACATATTGCCTATTGTATCATGTTACACAAATCAACATTGGCCAAATCAAGTTAAGTGGGGAATTAATGTAATATGCTTTTTTTTTTGTGATGTTGATTTGAGGGTTAAGTATTGGCCAGGATACCAGGGATAACGCCCCTGCTCTTCTTCAAAATAGTGCCATGGGATCTTTTACATCCACCCAAGCAGACAGATGGGACCTCGTTCAAAAATTGGTACTTTCCACAGTTCCCTTAGTACTGCACTAGAGTGTCAACCTTGATTTTTGTGCTCAAGTTCCTGGAGTGGGACTTGAACCCAGAACCTTGAGATCCAGAGGTGAGCAGTACTGCCAGTTGAGCTATGGTTGACACAAGTTTTAAGTGAAGTATTAAAGCTGTGTTGCATTTTTTAATGTTTTGGGTCTGCTTTCTCTTTGTAGCAAAAGTAAGCAAAGCACAAGAACAAGGAAAAGATACATCACAGTTTGGTAGTAACAGGTAAGTATCATCATTTTTGTTTTAATTTAGGTGTAATTATATGGATGATGAAATGGACCTTAGATTTGGCTACTTGCCTGTTCAACGAAAGAGTTTGTTTCTGTTCCGTAGGTAAATCAGTAACACAACATTGTTGCATTTAAGTTTGAATTAAAGTTTGAGCTCATTAAAGACATTGGCTGTGGTTTACTAGTTTACTCTTGAGAAAGATGAAAGATACCAAGGATATTGTTTTTTGGAGATGGATGTCATGGGTCACATTTATTCTAAGATCTTGTACATCATCTTTTTGAAATAGGTTTGATTTATTAGTTTTATCCTAAATGTAAGCTTAAGGGAATATGGGATGAGGCTTTGATATTTTTGCTTGGTGTTAACGGTTAACCAAAACTCTGGCCGTGAGGAAAGCACGGAATTTCCAAATATGCAAAGAAAAGTGTGTTTTGTGGAATAATGACTATCAATTGGAGTCATAGAGATATATAGCGCAGAAACAGACGCTCCCCCACTGACACCTCGGTCACCTGTCTTGCTAAATTTATTTCCCAAGAGTAGGTCAAGTTTTGCACCTTCTGTAGTAGATATGTCTACATACTGAATCAGAAAATTTTCTTGTACACACTTAACAAATTCTTTTCTGTCCAAGCCCCTAATACTATGGCAGTCCCAGTCTATGTCTGGAAAGTTTAAAATCCCCTACCATAACCACCCTATTACTCTTACAGATGACTGAGGTGGGGGGTGTCTATAGTACAATCCCAATAAGGTGATCATCCCTTTCTTATTTCTCAGTTCCCCCAAATAACTTCCCTGGACGTATCCCCAGGTTCATAGTTTATGAAGTAAAATGAACAATATTGATGCTAGAATGGTACCGTTCACTAGATGTGAATTATCAGATAAGGCAGACTGATATCTACTGAAAATTGGAAGTTTTGGAGACAAGATTCTTCAGAGTGATTATTATTCTAAATTCATTGCAGCAATCTCTTTAGCCTTTCTTCTCGGGATAGAAACCCAAGAAACTATTATTTGTCATTTTTTTTTATTGATCTTAACTAATTTTTGAGAGTAGCTGTTGAAGTAGATTACAGCATCCTGGGAATTCTGGCAAAGAGCAAACTCAAAGTTCTTAGGACTCCTCTCAACAGCCATAAGCTCCTTTATTGTCATATGGGAAAATATCAATGCACATAGATGCACCTGGGCTTGTAATGGAATAAAACTCCAGACACTTTATTGTTAAATAAAACTGGCTTAATTTTCCATACTTTCCTGTATACCAAGTTGGATGCTGTAAAGCTCACTGAAATTAAACCAGCACTTATTGTTTCCTATGGTGCCTGTGTACATTCAATGCAACATTTCTTCTTCATTAGCTAGTGACAAGAATAAATAAGACCATGTTTTATGCAAATTGTGGCTAATTAAATTTCAAGAAGAAGAGTTGAGTTTTAGGCCTCAGCCAACATAATTTGACCTTTAAATTGAGCTGAAGGCAAGAATTGTGTGCTGTCGCAGCACCACCGAGGTGATATTGAGAGTCTGTTTCACATTTAGGCCAGCACTCAAGAATCACAGTTGTAAAATCCAATGATTCTAACTAAATGACCATCTTGTAGGGATTTTAAAAGAGAAATGACAAGAGTTAACTACTAAGTGGACTTTTTGCAAATATTGGAATTACAATCTTGGAGGCATTTTAATGTCAGATAATTTTGCTGGGGGTCTTGGGATTAGGTTTGCCACCAATCTAAGTGTGTTTTTGTTGTTACTGAATTCGTCACGCAAATCAATCACACATTTGTGAATAATTACAATTACATCTTAGGGAATCAAGCATATGCAAATCCGATATGGTGTCACTTGCTGTATGGCATCACTATTTACATATTTCATTGAAGCAAAATAACAAAATTCCCCTTTTTCCTCAAATAGAAATTACACCATAAGAATTAATACGCATAACAGAATTGCTATAAACACTAAAAGTTAGACCTCTATCCATCATTTGAGTCCCTAAAATGTATAGCTGGTTTATTAATATGCCTGGACCTGATAAAAGTTATTTTTTTTCCTGAGATCAAGTATTATCATGAGGTGTTCTTGACTCCTCGATATAGATGCATGAGTATCTTGCACATTAGCTCTGTGCTTGTTGGTCTTCACAGTGATCTTTCACATTTTCACTCTTAGACTTTATAAGCAAACATGTTCTCACAGCTGCTGGAGTATTGTCTAAGATGTGGTTCCTTTAGACCTTTCTGAGCATTGCACTGTTTAGTGTATGGTTTCATATAAATTTGGCTTGCTACAAACCTTAAATATCTCTGTGGGAATCAGGTTCTTTCTCTTGGGTGAATAACTTGAATTTTTTGCTCTACATGGAAGCTAGGCAATACCACATCTAATCATAACAAAAACAAAAGTTGCTGGAGAAGCTCAGGTCTGGAAGCATCTAATCATGCTGTTTATATGTAGACTTTACCACCTTCTGCTTCTTCAGTAAGCTTTTCTGCACTAAATGATTCCTAAATATTATTCTGATTTCCTGCCAGTACATGATTTCAGCTGGTGTCTGTGATGATGGATCTGTTGTTGTTTCCTGTAAATGCAATGTAACAACCTGGAAATTTTGCTGTATACCTGCATTCACAAGTGGTTTGATCCTGTGAACTACTCTGTCAGCAACACTATTGGATCTCGGATCATCTGGACAGGCTTGTTACATGGTTTATTCCTCACTTGCTGCACACATCCTGAAATGGTTTGCCTGCATATTGTGGACCATTGTCTGATACAATCTCCTCAAGTGTACCAAACAGACTAAATATAGCCCTGTCTGTATTCACTTCAGATGTAGAGGGTCTCTATGCTGGTTTGGTTAATGCAGTACATATGCCTTGCACATCCTTATGGCTTTCTCAATGTTGCAGTTAATCCCAGGCCGATGCATTGTTTTGTTTTGCCAGATACCTTGTTTGCTGAATTCCTATGTGATCCTAGTGCAATTGCAATTAAATATCCCAACAAAGAAATCAGTGTCTGGAATCAGCATTTATCTTTTTAAAGATTAATCCTGTTGAGATACTGAACTAATACCTAAACAGCCAAAGGGATTTCGGGTTGTCTTGAACTTCCTGTGTTGTTTGAAGCCAACTATTGGCAATGTCTTGCCACAATATTTTCAGTAACGGGGGTTCTTTGGCTTTTACTGCTCTAAGCTGGTTGCATTGTACTGCCCAAGGCTCGTCAAATCAACCATAAGTATGTATGCGACCTTCATGTCCTTATGGTCAGCTTGTAGATCTGATGAGATATCCGTTATTTGCTTTGGGAAAATGAACCTGTGTATCCAACGTGACCATTCTTTTCCCTGGATTATAATGTACTACTGTCATACCTTTCGGATTTTGACTCGTAGCCTTTGTAATCTAAATAGCAGACTCGTCAGAGGTTTGTCAGATAATTTCAAATGACTTGTGATCTGTTTCCTCAAACTGCTTGCCAAAAAAGGATATGTAAGGAGCCTTTTAATGCCAAACACTACAACAGGTGTCTCACTCTGTGTCCTGGTAATGGATTGGGTCGGGGAGATTCAGTCAGTTTCGCCTCCTGCATACGGCAAGTTCCTAGCCCTTTCTGTGATGCATCAACTTCCAAGGCTATTTCCTTGGTTATAGTATTGTCACCTCTAACAATGACTGATTGTGATTCAAATAATATTGGTGACTTCTTCCCACACAAATGAAGAATCTGTTTCCAATTGACATTGCCTTCAAACAAAGTTGGGCATATCACATGCTCAGAAATTGAATAATCTTAGACATAGTTGTAAATATTCTCACCCTTGAGATGCAGGCCTAGATTGTACATCTTTACTTTGATCAAGATGTTTCCCAGAAATAGAATAAATCAAACTTAAAAAAAAGTTGATGTTGCTTATATTTATTTCCAGCATTTTACTGTTAAAAACCAGACCTTCTCTTGTAGCCATTTTCGATTATCAGAATTTGATGTGGCCATCTTGAGTCCAAACACACCTATTGTAGTAGATAACGCAGTGTGGATCTGGAGGAACACAGCAAGTCAGGTAGCATCAGAGGAGCAGGAAAGCTAATGTTTTGGGTCAGGACCCTTCTTCAGAAATGAGGGAGGGGGAAAGGGGCTCTGAAATAAATAGAGAGAGGAGGGGTGGGGCTGGGGATGGTAGGTGGGATGGTGACAGCTGAGTGCAGGTAGGCATTGGTGGGGATTGGTCAGTGAGGTGGGAGGAGCGGATAGGTGGGAGAGAAGATGGACAGGTTGTCAGGTCAAGGAGGAGGGGATGAGAGGGACAATTGGTCATGGGTGAGGCCGGGGGTGGGAAGATTTTGAAGCTAGTAAAGTCCACATTGAGACCATTGGGTGGTAGGCTCCCAAGGCGGAAAATGAGGTGTTGCTCCTCCAGTTTCAGGTGGCATTATTGTGATACTGGAAGAGGCCCAGGATGGACGTGTCATCCAGGGAGGGGGAGTTGAAGTGGTTCACGACTCGATGATGTCGTCGTTTGTCACGAACAGAGTGTAGACGCTCTACAAAGCGATCTTCAAGCCTCCGCTTGGTATCACCAATGTAGAGGAGGCCACATCGGGAGCAGCGGATGCAGTAAACCACATTGGCAGATGTGCAGGTGAACATCTGTCTGATATGGAAGGATTTTTTGGTTCCTTGGATGGAGGTGTAGGGGCAGGTGTGTAGTACTTCCTGCGGTTGCAGGGAAAAGTGCCAGGGGTGGTGGGGCTAGTGAGGAGTGTGGAGCAGACAATGGAGTCACGGAGAGAGCGGTCCCTACGGAAGGCAGATAGGGGGAAATATATCCTTTGTTGTGGGGCCAGATTGCAGATGGCGGAAGTGGCGGAGAATGATACGGTTAGTCGGGTGATATGTGAGGACAAGGGGGATTCTGTCTTTATTTTTGTTGTGGGTAGAAATGTGAGGGTAGAGGTGCGGGAAAAGCAAGAGATGCGGTCGAGAGCATTTTCAACCACTTGAAGGGGTTGCGGTCCTTGCAATAAGACAACATCTGGGATGTTCGGGAATGGTACGCCCCATCTTGGGAGCAGATGCAGCGGAGGCAGAGGAATTGGCAGTAGGGGATCGCATTCTTGCAGGAAGGTGGGTGGGAGATAGTACTATTGTACTATCTTCCTTCAGTTTGCAAGTAATGGAGCTAAACCAATTGCTGTATTTTAATGCAATGAACAATGTTTTATTCCACATGTAATTTAATTTTCATCTCTTCCTTGATATATGTACACCATACTTTTTAGGTGGGTGGGTCACTCGGAGGAATTGCATTTCTCTTAATGCAAAATTACATCACCTTTGAAATTCCCCATGCCACAAAAACTTGTTTCAGCTGTCACAGACTGACTTGATGGGGTCAGTTTTAACATTTTCATTCATCATTACTATTGCATTATTGATTTTTGTGTATGATCACAATTTTACTTCCCTACACACTGGTAATCATGCTACTGTCAAGACTATTCATATCTGTGCTAATCATATAGTTATACTGCATTTTAATGTTGCTGAACCAATGCATTGAACTGATGACCATTGTAATCTGTCAATCTAGCGATCATAGACTGTACCATTCACTTGTTGGCATTACCTTCAGTGTTTAACTTGGCTTTGAGCATGTATTTGCCATTTTTATTCAGACATGGAATATTGATCAAAGCAAAAGCCACTAACTTTGTGTTGTATCCATACGTTGTGCCACATTTACCATGAGGAAATCCAACTCATTTTCAAGATGAAGAGCTTTCTTCTCAGAATTTTCTAACCACTTTAACTTCCCCAATATTGACTGGGACTCCCTTAGAGCAAGAGGCTTCCACGGGGCAGAATTTATCAAGTGCATCCAAGAGGGTTTCTTGAAACAGTATGTGGATAGTCCAATTAGAGGAAGGGCCATCCTGGACCTTGAACTGGCTAATGAGCCTGGCAGATGACTGACCTTTCAGTGGGAGAGCATTTTGAAAACAGTGATCACAACTCCCTTAAGTTTTGAGATAGCTATGAATAAGGATAAGTTAGGATCTTGTGGCAAGGTACTAAACTAGGGGGAGGGCAAATTGCATCAGTATTAGGCAGGAGGTAGGGAGTGTTAATTGAGAGGAGCTGTTGCAGGAAAGTCCACATTTGACATGCGGGAATTGTTTAAAGACCTGATGAGAGTTCAGGACCAGCATGTTCCAGTGAGGAGGAAGGACAAGGATGGCAAGGTAAGGGAGCCTTGGATAGCGAGGGAGGTTTCATTTTAGTCAGAAGGGAAAAAGAAGCATATACAAGGTTTAGGAAGCTCAAATCAAACAGGACCCATGAAGAATATTTAAAAAAGCAGGAAGGAACTCAAGCAGCGAATTAGGAGAGCAAGAAGGGACTATGAAATGACCTTGGTAAGTAGGATTAAAGAAAATCCTAAGGTATTCTATACATAGATTAAAAACAAGAGGATAACTAGGGAGAAGGTAGAACCACGCAAGGTTATAGAAGGGAACGTGTGCTTGGAGGCAGAGAATGTAGGTGAGATCCTAGATGAGTACTTTTCGTCGGTATTCACCCAGGAGAAAGACGTGGAGGATAGTGAGATTTGTGTAGAGCATACGAATATGCAATGGCACATATGGGGTCAAGAAAGAAATGGTATTGGGTGACTTGAAGAGCATTAAAGTGGATAAATCTTGGAATCCACCCGAGGTTATTGAGGGAGGCAAGAGAGAATTCCTGGGGCCTTACCAAGTTCTTTGTATCCTTTCTAGCCACTGGAGAGGTCCCTGAGGACTGGCTGATAACTAATGTTGTTCCTCTGTTCAAGAGGGGAAATAGGGATAATTCAGGAAATTATAAATTGGTGAGTCTCAGTGATTGGGAACCTATTGGAGAGAATTCTTAGGAATAGGATTTATGTGCATTTACAAAAGCATGGCCTAATTAGGGATAGTCAGCATGGCTATGTGCAGGGCAGGTTATGTCTTACTAACTTGATTGAATTTTTCGAGGAGTGATGTTGCAGGTGATTTCATTGCAGAGTTGCTGTAACTGCAGTTTGTGTCATCTTCGTATCTAGGCGTAAATTGCTGCAACCGGTAGAACATAAATTTTAGTTGGCCCACCCACAGAGTTGTTTTTGTTGGGAGCTGTATCGTAAAGGATGAATGGCCTCACAATTCCTGATTCTAAATGAACTTCTGCAGACTGATCCTGAGCCAACATACTCTTACTGATCACTAATCCAGTTACCTTTTGTTTATTCACTTGTTTATTTTCGGTCATTGCTCTCGGAGGGTGTTTCTGCCTCTTGGAGTCTTACTGTATACAGATTCTGTAGCAAACAAAACAACACTGTCACTATGTTGCATCGCTGTTTATCTCACAGACTTATAAATCATAAATTGATGAATGGGAAAAATACTTTGGTTTTCTTTTATTGAAGATTACCATTACAGGAGAGTTTTACATGCATATCTTCCTCGAGAGTCAACATAGGTCCTAATACTGTGGCATAAGTAGTTTGGAGCCACTTCATGTAGTGGTGATCCATACATTCACTATTTACGTATTCCATTGAAGCAATACTACAGCAATTTTTGTAAATTGTTGCAAATTACCTAGTTTACAGGACAACCAGATGCTGATCCTTGAGATAAAGTAGGTAAATGAGAACTGGAGAACTGTGAAGTAGATTAATGCTGTGTAACTTACTTGAAAGTACTATGTATTCTTTTTTTATAAATTGCATCTACTTCACTCTAACAATCTGAGAATTTAATAGCGTGGGAGAGTGATTATATTAGCAATGCTACATTTGGGAAAAATAGCATCCATTTGGTTCGTATATAAATTATTACTGATAAGATGCTTTTACATGAAGAATGAGGTAATCTTTTATAAATGGGGAAGAAGGATCACAGGACATGAAATGTTAATTTTGCTTTCTGTCCACAGATACTGCCAGACCTGCTGAGCTTTTCCAGCAATCTCGCTGATTTTTGTTTCTTATAAAAAGTGTTTTTATTAAACAAGTGAAGCTTGTCAGCAGTGACAAATTTTGGTACGCGTGCAATGCATAAGAACTCAGTGAGGTATCATATGGGTTTGTAAGTGGGCAATATTCAAGACAGAAAAAAAATACGAAAGAACTGCAGATGCTGTAAATCAGAAAACGAAACCGAAATTGCTGGAAAAGCTCAGCAGGTCTGGCAGCATCTGTGAAGGAAAAAACAGAGTTAATGTTTTGGGTCCGATGACTCTTCCTCAGACCTGTTATTTAAACTTTCTCCCCTTTGTAGAAAATATTCAAGAATGACAAAGAGAAAACCAATATTCAAAACAGAGTTTCTTTCTCATTCTTGAATATTTTCTACAAAGGGGAAAAGTTTAAATGATCACTCAGTCTCTCTTGTGCACTGCCTCATGTCCTGTTTCGGAATTGTATGTGGAGGGCCTCCGATAACATCAACTACCCAAATTCTCAACTAGAACTGATGTATGACCCACAGAGAATCAGAGAAGGAAACAAGCCATTGGATGTGACATGAGCACCCAATCGAGCACCAGTTGAATCTATTTCTATTCTCCCAGAAAGTTTCCAATTATACACAGAAATTAAGTTTTCAAGATTGCCCTATGCCCACATAGATTTGATTTCCATCTAGTAAAGTACTTAAATGGAATATTTGGTGAATTCAATGTTTAGCAAAGTCAAGTTTATCATGGTGGTTCTGTGTTTTCCCAGATCAGACTTTCATTTTCACTTTCTCTTTCGTTTTATTTTGCAAATACTTAGTTATGGTCATAATGAGTGTTTTATTTCATAAGGATTTATTAAATGTAGACAATACGCTAGCTGAGTCCCATAGACCACAGATGCCAAGATCAACTTGGGCAATTTCATGACAGGGAATATAAAAACTGTGCTATCCAGGAACTCAACTTTTAAAGTGTGATTGTGTGCAGCAGTCACTGCTAAGGATAGAATAACTGGCGAGATAGTATGGGGTGCAATGTTTGTGAATCAGATGGCCAATTAACCAACTAATGACAGAACGAATGTGTAAAGGACGGCCACTTGATTGAGGATTAAAGGTGCCTGTGAAATCTAGTCAAGTAAGAGTCATGGCTATTAAAAGTAAAGTAGATAGTAAATCCACAAAAATATATTTTGGAGAGGTGGAGATTAATGCAGAGAATATCATAAGAATCGCTGTTGAACGTACTTGTGGTGATTCAGTAGTTAATGACAACAAGCTGTAGATGAAATATATTCATAATTTTGCTAGGGCTAGATTCATTGAGATCTCAGAAAAAAAATCATCTAATTTGTTATACCACAAAGTTTCTCTGAATTTCTAACTAACTCCATTGCTTTTTCAAAAGTAATATTGTTTTCTGTGTTTATCTAAGCACATTTTAATGATGGATAGCTTCAGAAACACTTATTGAATCACTTTAATTCTCTTCTGGTGCAGCTCTTCTGTTTCTGAAGATGTATTTAGACAATCGCCGTTTACTTCAAAATTGAGAGATCCTTTATCTGACCTCCATGTGGGACCACCATCGCATGGTATGTGATACTTATAATTTTGTATTTTGACTGTGGTTTTAAAGATTTGGCAATATTAAATGTGTAGTGTCTTATTTTGGTCAAATTACTTTTCAAAATTGCATGTTTTGCATATTTTTCGGTAAGTGTGAATAATTAATTGCAGGGCAAGTGTAAATTCATCAATCTTGATTTTAAAAGCAGTGAGGTCAGAGAAATGGCTGCGATACTAACACTTTTCTTTGATCCATTCTCTCCTCAAATGCAATTCCTGGCTGCAGCTTGGGATTAGTTATTTTACCCCACAAAAAACATTTAGTTTAGAGGGGGAATTTCACAACTTGGCTTGAGGCAATTGAGGGCACAGACACCAACAGTGAAGCAATTAGAATAGGTATTGGGGGAACAAAATTCAAGATGATTGTAAAATGGAGATTGCAAAGAAAGAGGGTGCGTAGAGTCAACGGAGAGACCATGGGGAGGTTTAAAATTAAATGAAATGATGGGGTGAATTTGTGGTTGAAAGTTCATCTCAGGGTCACCTGTGGCTTTAAGGTTGCCAATATGTAGATTCAACCTTAGTTGGCTACAAATAACATTTAGTTTTTTTTTAAACACATAGCAGTCCACTCATTAACCACAAGAATGGGTCAATTCTGTCATCTATGAAGATGGTGGTAGTAGTAGATTTTGTGTTGAAAGTTTTAGAGCATTAGAAAGGTAAACTTCAATGGATTGAATGGCCTCAACTCAACTTCTTAAAAAACCAATTTTTGTTTAATGCTGGTAGTCTTCAGAACTAATGGTGCTATTATGTTAAGTATATGGCATTGACTGAAATTTGTTTATCCAGTCAAAAGCTAAAATAATTTAAGTATGAAACTAGAAGGTAATGAGCAGAAAATAGTCCAGTCATCTCATAAATTCATCTGCTTACGTTCTTCATTATGCATTTTGAGTGATTAATTTGTGCAGGTGTAGTTCCCTCTGGCATGTTTGTTGAAAATATTTTGTCATCTGAGAGTATTTTTACATTGTTTATTTTCATTTCTAACCAAATGTTCACACGAGCCTTGCATAGCCTTGAAAATACCAGCTACTGATCAGATTGCCAGTATAATCACATTTTTAAAATTAAAATATTGCTACATGGTTAAGAGCACATCTGTTTAGAAAAATCTTGAATTAATGCAGGAAAGGTCACACAATACTTGGCAAAAGTTGAGTGTGATCCTACATTGCACTTGTCATGTATAGACCTGTACCTAGTCAGTGTCAATAGCTTTAGGAGAGGAGGGGAGAAAACAGCATGCTTAGCAAACTCTGAAACTCTACAAGGACTGTGCAGGTTTTGCTTCATCACTTGAGAATGTTAATGATATTTAATTTGTCTCATCTGTTATTTATTCCATATGTTTTACTCATTTCTTATCAGATGACCAACATGTGACATATGACTTGTGCAAATTGTCTGTGGATGGTAGTGTCTGCAGATTGCTGAGAACCACATTCCCATAAATATGTGACATAGGTCTAGGCTTCTGTTCAGCCAACTAAGGTTGAATCTACATATTGGCAACCTTAAAGCCACAGGTGACCCTGAGATGAACTTTCAACCACAAATTCATCCCATCATTTTGTTTAATTCCGCTTCCCGAATGTTGCCGGGCATGACTGTCCAGTGTTCCTTTGACTGGCCTCTCATCATCCTCCCTCTGCTCACTCTGTCGTCCATATATGCTAACTCCCACCACATCCCATTAACCTTTTTACTGCTATGATTACTGTTTTACATTGGTTACAGGTCTGACGATGCCTCAACTTAAAACTTCATGTCACTCTATTTTAAACCTCCCCATGGTCTCTCCGTTGACTCTACGCACCCACTTTCTTTGTAATCTCCATTTTACAATCATCTCGAACTTTGTTCCTCCAATACCTATTCTAATTGCTTCACTATTGGTGTCTGTGCCCTCAACTGCCTCAAGCCAAGTTGTGATATTCCCCCTCTAAGCCTGTCCCCTTTGTCACCCAACTCCTTTTTAAGGTGTTCTGTAAAACCCATCTTTATGCCAAATCTTTGATCATCTATCACATGTTGCTTGTTGTCAAAGTTTGTTGATTAGAGCTTCTATTGAAATACCTTAAGATTTCTTACTATGTTAAAGGAGCTATATTGTAAGTTGTTGTTGTGGATACAATAGAAATGTAAACAAATACATCCTGGATCAACATTCCAAATCTACCCTCCTTCACAAAAGCATTAATTTTATGCCTATAGTTATTTGGTTTTATAATGGTTATTGTGAGAAGCTACAAAAATTCTTACTAGAGAGGTAGAACGTACAATTTTGAAGTAAAGTATGCATGTGAAATATATAAAACTATCCATTTTGAAACTTGTTGATGTGGGCAAGTCCCAGTGGGAATAGAACTTTCTGGTTCCATCACGACATACATCCCAATTGAATAAAACTTGCAACAAGGTTAGTAGAACTTCTAGTCTGCTCATTCAGTTTCCTAACTAAAAGTGTAATATAGATGTTGAGAGAAGAGGCTTTAAAGGCTAAAATTATGAGGAAATCAATTTGGCAGTTATCTTTATAGAAAGCTAACTCTCTGAACCAGATATCACTCTAAACATAATTAAAACACTGTTATGCCTATGACGTAAAGACTACATAAGAACTATTGTCCATTTGCAGAAGCAGGAAAATTAACTGTCGAGTCAGGGACTATAACCCCACCGTGGAAGTTTTGTGAGCAGCTTTTTCCCTGTAAAATATGTGGGAAGGTTTTTGGCCGGCAGCAGACACTGTCTCGACATCTTTCTTTGCACACAGGTAAGGAGATGTCATGAATAAAGTGCTGTGTTTGTTAGTTTTTTAAATTAAATTATAAACTAGATTTGGAACAACACTCCTGAAGAGTTGAAAGGTTATATTGTTAAATGTAAGAGCGTTTGAAAGCTAACCATTGTAAATTGTTATTTTTGTAGAAGAACGAAGATACAAGTGTCATTTGTGTCCCTATGCTGCCAAGTGTCGAGCAAACCTAAACCAGCATTTGACAATCCATTCAGTGAAGTTAGTGAGTGGCGATTCTGAGGACATGGCTACTGCTGTAACCTCCAAGAGTGGTAATCGCAAGAACAGTCCATATTACTATAGGTAATTCTGTTCCTTTTTCTCTGCAGCTAGTTAATTCCCCACAGTTCAATGTCATGCTGAACCAGTGTTACTTCACTTAAAATATTTTATGTGTAAGAAGCAAAACAATATTCTGAACTTTACTTAATTTTCTATTTAGCTGCCATGTTTGTGGATTTGAGACAGAGGTAAACCTGCAGTTTGTCAGCCACATGTCATTACATGTTGATAAAGAGCAGTGGATGTTTTCATTGTGCTGCGGCACCTGTACCTTTTCTTGCATGGATGAAACTGAAATGAAAACACACGTGGATGCAGAACATGCAGGTAACCCAGACATCAATTTTGATTACTAGGTGGGGAGCAGAGGGGTTTGCTCGTCTGCATGTTAATTTTCCTTCTGTGAATCACGTTTAAATTTCATTTCACTCGAGTAACATCATAGCCTGGTAAGTAAAATAAATCTTAAAAAATCGTTGCTTAAGTTTTGCTTGCTTTGTCGCTTCTAGTCAATGCCCCAGGCTCCTTTATGGCCTGACCCACCAGCAGGACAGACCCACCCAGGGGTACAGGGCCACTGCCCAGAGGGAATATCCCGGTGAGTCCTCAACGTTGACTTTCGACCTCCAGAAATCTCAGCATCAGATCAAGTATGGGCATAGATATTTTCTGATTACTCCTAGTTGCCCTTCAGTTCCTCGATGTTGAACATCTCTTGGAAAATGCACTGAAGCGTTGGTAAGGGCTCAGAATGTACTCTGGGTGGGAGACTTTAATGCAGTGACTTGCAAGTAATGCTATTGACTGAGCTGAGATAGTAGGAACTGTAGATGCTGGAGAATCTGAGATAACAAGGTGTAGAGCTGGATGAACACAGCAGGCCAAGCCGCATCAGAGGAGCAGGAAGGCTGACGTTTCGGGCCTAGACCTTTCTTCAGATTTGGCTTGCTATGTTCATCCAGCTCTACACCTTGTTATCTCTATTGACTGAGCTGCCTCTTGAAGGATTTATCTGTCAGATAAAACCTTTAGCAGCTGATGAGAAAACCAATCAGAGAAAATAACCACCTTGATCTTGCCCTCAATGATCTACCTATCACTAATACACTTGTCCACAATGGTAGCATTGGTGCATGTGACCAACACAAAGGACATACTCTATTATATTGTGTTACCACTGTGCTAAATGGGTTAGATTCAGAACAAACCTAAGCTTCCAAAGATGCTGCGGACCAGCAGCAGCAGAGTTGTATTCAACCACAATCCACAGCCTTATGACAGTTAAGCAAACCCCTCCCTCTACCACTATCATCAAGTGAGAAGATCAATCCTGGTTCAGCAAGCAGAGAGGAAGAGCACACCAGGAGGAGCAACAGTTAAAATGGGATATGAACCTGGTGAAGCTCCAGCAAAGGACATCACGTGTGCAATTGACAGTGCTATGCGATCCCATCAATAATGCATCAGATCAAAGTTCTGGAGTGTTGTCATATCCAGTCATGAAAAACATCCTCCTCTCAAAGAGCTCAACTTACAAATGCAAAAGACAATTACAACGATCTTCAACCTGAAGCACCAAATGGATGATTCATCTTGGCTTCATGGTGAGCCAACGTTGCAGATGTTGACGTTCAGCCAATTTGAATCATAACTGAACTCACTGGATAAATCAAAAGTTGGGTGAAAGTTCAATAAGACCCAAGAAGCTCAACGCCATCCAGGGAAAGGAAGTCCCTTTGATCGAGACCCTGGTCACCAGCTGCACGTAGCGATAGAACTGAAAGATTCAGTGCAGTAACTTGCCAAACCTTCTGTGCTAGCACCTTCCAAACCCTCAATCTCTACTTTTTGGAAGAACAAGGTTAGCAGGCGCAATGGAACACCTCCACCTGCAAGTTCCTCTACAAGCCATAAATGACTTGAATTAGAAATATGTCGCCATTTTATTGCTATAGCTGGATCAAAATACTAAAATTCCCTCTTTAACAATGCAGTGTGTGTACTTACACCGTATGACCTGCAGTGTTGATGAAGGCACTTCATTGCCTCCCCCTCAAGGTTCCTTTTTAAGGTATTTAGAGATGGGCAACAGAAGCTGTACTTGCTAGTGACATTGATATTCTATGAACAGGTTTGTTTTTGTTTAAAAATCTGTTTAAATTAAATATAAGGCAAGTTTTGTCTTTCAAACAGTATTGAATTAAAGGAAAATTACTGGGAATTTGGAAGGAGTGCTCCAATCTCCTAATTAGATGAGAGTCCAGCAAAATCCCAGAGACATGTTGTGAATGGCCATTTTCAGATATTTACACCACTTCTCTTGAGACTAACCTTATCTTCTGCCAAAGTAACAGCAGAAAATCAGAACTCTGACTTACTTTTGTCAAATAGGCTATCACTTTTGCATCAGGTTACTCTGTGAAAAAATATACATCTTAGCTTATGGCAAAATTTTTGAGTCTTAACTTCATTGTATTTACCATTTCTGCAGGTGAGAAAGTTCCAGTGCTCTCTTGTCTTAGCCCCACCGGTGAATCCAAGACAGCTCCAACACTTTTCTCATCATCATCTTCGTCCTCATTATCTTCATCTTCAGCACTTTGTGATTCTGTTACTGAATCTGAAACCCCAAATTCTGACTTCACCAAAGAAGAGCAAATCACTTTCAACTCTCCAATGGCATTCAGTGGATCATCATCTACGCCAGCTACTGAGGAGAAACCTGAAAAAGGTGAGGGAGTGTTTTATCGGCTCAAGAATCCAATTGAAGATTTTTACCTCGTGAATAAATGTATCCAGGTGGCTACATTCTTTTTCCCTTCTTGTGTGGAGCCACTTTTGCATTTTAAGCTGGAAGCTAAGTGGATAGGCAAGTACCTCTTATTCATAGGCCTGACAACCTTGTGTTGTACAACTGAATATTAAAATGTGAGATTGCACCAATGCATGACAAGCCAGAACGGTATGGAAATAGCTATGTTTAGAGACTGTCTTTGTCTTTCACTAGGTTTATAAAGAAAATACAGCAGACTCCCAAGTATGCACACAAGATGTCCAGATATCCTGAGTTCAATGCTAAATTGAGTAAATGATGGCTAGTGAATGCAGTGTATTGTACAGCATAGAACTGTAACTTCTAGTTACTGCAGATGTCAAAATAAGCAGACTTTTCTAGGTATCAGAAACCCACTAATTCCATACAATGTATTAAATGTTTTCATTCTGCTAAGGTATTAAAAGTTAGAATTTTGATTCAGTGTAGAAATGACTTCAACTTCAATAATAAAAAAAAAAAGGAGGGCTTGGGCTTTATCCCATACTTAAGTGTTCACATTCCTGGACAGTATTTTCCATAAACAGACCGAATCTCCCTTGACCCCAAATCTTCAATCATATACATGCTGTGCGTGGCATAATTACCCACGTCTAATAGTTTTTTTTCCTAATCATACATCCTTTTTTTTGCTGTTTGCTGTGGTGAATCATTCAACTTTCTGACTAAAGCCTCAAGGTCAAAAGTACTTGACTATTCATTTACAGCTTAAATTTTAAGCAGTTTTGAATTTACTGCTAAATATTAGCAGTCAAAAGATACACCAAACTGCCCAATTCCTCAATGCTTTAAGTTATCATTAGTCCACAAGGGCTCAATGAATCCTTTTTTTAAAAGTGTATCGCTTGCATAGTGAAATAAGTAGCAAACGTTTTGACTAAACAATAAGGTTTATATCAGAGTCCACCTTTGAAAAGAGACAAAATAAAGAAATGTGGGAGGAATTCAGCAGGTCCAGCAACATCTGTGGAGTGAGAAACAGAGTTAACGTTTTAAGTCTGATACCACACGTCTTCAGAACTGAAGTGAGAGAAACACAGATGCTGCTGAGTTTCTCACGCATTTTTTATTTTAGATTTCCAGCATCTGCAGTATTTTAATTTTATAAGAAATGAGAAGCAGTTTGCCCACAAGTTTGGATTTCATCGACAAATTAAGCTTAATAGCTTATACTGCAAAGAATGCAACAAAACCTTTTCGTGGTACAACTATTTTTTTCAGTAAATATATTGACAGGTAACCTTGAAAAATTAGATGTCAACCAAGCTGAACTAAAAATGTTAATTGTTAGTGAACCTCTTTGCAATTTGTAGTGTATGATTGTAGGTAAATGTAGCCATAATAGTGGCTGCACTTAAAAGCAATTCATTGTACACGAAGTGTATTGGGATAATTCTAACAGGTACAATAAACTATTAAAGAGATAGTAGGAACTGCAGATGCTGGAGAATCTGAGATAACAAAGTGTAGAGCTGGATGAACACAGCAGGCCAAGCAGCATCATAGGAGCAGGAAGGCTGACGTTTCGGGCCTAGACCCTTCTTCAGATTTCTAAGGCAAAGTATCAAAATATCGCACCTAAATCAAATATGATTGATGTGTGGGGGATTAGTCCACTAACAACATCAACCCACAGATAACACCTAGCTTCTGCTCACTGTTCAGACAATGCAGAATGCTGTTGGTAAAATGTGCATTGGAGTTGGTCCCATCACTGCAAAATCTGTACCAAGCGGATCAATCCTCGGAAGTGCTTCAAAAGATGGGAAATGCAGAATTAGATTATCCTCATCCTAAAACTATTGCAGCTTTTACAATCCACCCTATGAAAAAGGACACAGACATTGGGAGTAGAAAACAGTTTGTGGAGAGGAAAAGTGACCATTTAAGCAAGACCATTACGTTTACCCGTAGCAGGGGAATTTTCAATGATGTTAAAAGTTACATGTGGATGAGAAAGAGTACTTGTCACTATTTCGAAAGGAGTCCAGAGGATTTCTCGCTTGC